TGCCTCCAGTTCACATCATCCTTATGCCATAGTGGCATCTTTTGGGCTGGTACGTTCTGATCCCCTACAATATATTTTACAAATTTGGGACTTTATAATTTTGTTTGTGGTATTTTTGATGCATGGATTTTAAAAATAATTAATGTGAATAATAATTAAGTAGTCACAGTTAAACTGTTATAAAATCTATCAGTATTTCCTTAGGTAGTTTTTTCACCTTAGTGTTTATCCTTAGGAATTCCAGCTCCACTTCAAAATTGAATAAGTAATGTTTCTTTCCAATGGTTTTTCTTTTAAAAATATATATATTTTAATTGATTTCAGAGAGGAAAGAAGAAGGAGAGAAAGATAGAAACACCAATGATGAGAGAGAATCATTGATCAGCTGCCTTCTGCATGCCCCCCACTGGGGATCGAGCCCACAACCCGGGCATGTGTCCTGACCAGGAATCAAACCATGACCACCTGATTCATAGGTTGATGCTCAACTACCTATATTCTTTTTCTATATTCTTTTTCTTTTGTTCTCTGTTTTTACAATTTAGTTTATCATAGTATTCATTATTGCTGAAAATAAGGTTGTTTTTCTTATCTCCCATTTATTTTCCATCTTCATTAGAAATTTCATTAGTTTTCTTGATGAATATTTCTCTACTCTGGCAAGTCAAGCCATTAGATTATTGCTTTAAAAAATCATAAATTTTATTTACTTTAGCGCATCCTTAAAAATATATGGGTAAAGAAAAATCTACCAGATTTTCTGTAACCTCTGCCTTTTAAATTTTTTTTTTTAATGGAACATGTGCAACTAAATATGAGAACACCTTTAGGGTTAATTTTCTCACGATGCAGTCAGTCTTGGCTCACAAGCCTCATGTGGCATCACCATAGACATCCCCGGTCTTCGAACAATGGCAAAGAAAGCAAGCCTATGATTATGAAATGGGGCTGAGACTTTAACGATTTTATGATCTTGTTAGAACTGTTGATGAAATGTTAACGTGCCTAATTAGAGGACTATTTTCATTGTTCTGCAGGGAATGGATTAGAGGAAGGCCGGAGTTAATGCATGGAGGCTCTGGTATCAGTTCAGGAAGGGAGGATGGTGACATCCAGTTCTGCAAACCCCATCCCAAGGAAATTTAATCAGGGAGTAGGATTCAATTTGTAGATAACAGACACCACACTAGGCATTGAAGGAGATAGGGATCGAACACAGGGAAATCGTACTCAGTACATGTAGGAGCAGCTGAAGGTGGGACCTCTGGAAGGACTCTTAGGACAGCTCCCTAGACTGGCCTGCCTGGGAAACTGAGTCACAGTCAGGAGGCTGGGGACCCGGGACCACTGTTTAACCTCTGGCTCCAAGGTCATCCAAACCAAGTCCTCCTGCCAGATCTGAACAGCAGCATGGATGTCCCACTTATTCCTCGCTTCACATGCTTCCTAATGCAAGTCATCCCAAAAATTAGAACTAGGTTGTGCACTGAAAGTTATTTTGGGTCATGCAGCTGATTGGCAGAACCTACACCATATTTAAAACCTTAGCTGTAAGGGAGTCTGGTTGTTTTTTTTTTTTTTTTTAGCCTCCCAGCCCCACACCTGGAGAAAGGTGAGTGAACCCCCCTACCTTTCCCTTGAAGCAGGCTGTCCTGGTGCAGGAGTGTGTGAAAGGGAGAGTCTCTGCAAGTGGTGACTGAGAGTTGGGGGGGAGGGTAGGGGATGAGAAGAGAGAGGAGACGGGTAATGTCAGAGACCAAACTGGTTGCATTGAGTCCTGGTTTTGCGTGTTTTAGATGTTTTAACATCCCTTAGTCTTTGCTTAGTGAAATGATCAATTGCCATAGTGGAGCAAACAAATTTCGAGAGCAAGTTCATCTCAAAGCTTCCTCATACTTCTGAGATTCCTTTGAAGATAATATGTTTAAGTATATTTTCTTTTCTCCGTACATTTTTGTAAGTACAGAAGTAGAAATCAAACAGGAGATGTTGTCTCAAAGGTGCCACCAGCCCTCCTTCCAGGCTGTGGAATGTGCCTGGGGTGGCCCTGCAGGCTTTAAGGGTGTTGTGATGGGCAGAGCCCCAGGCATGAGGAACCTCACCTTGGGGAACCTGCTGGGCCTGCAGTGAGTTTGCTTGTTGACTCAGATATGCCGCCTACTTCTGTGCCTGACTGAGGGGTTAATGCACCTATCACGTGCCTGGTCCTGGATTCCCGGCCCTTCCCCCAGACCTAGAGCAGGTGCCTGAGAACTCCTCTAGCAAGGCTTTCCCTAGCAGCTGTGTAAGGGCCTGTCTGTCTCAGCGTTTTCGTTTCCCACTTCAGTGTTGTCCATTGATTAAGGTGCATTGAGGAGGCCGGTGAACCTCCGATTTGGTAGCACCTAAATTGGGTCTTGGCTGCCCATGGTCAATCAGGTAGAGTCATTATTCAGGTGGCTGCGTTCACTGCAGTGTTGGCCATTTCCCCCACCTCTCTGGATGCTATTATAAAATCTCTGGCTTCCTGGCATCTAATATAAGCATGATGTGCTTCTTTGTATCTATCCCTTAACCTCAAGTAAACTCATCTGCTGGGTGGAGACCTGAGCCCGTGACTCTCTGCCACAGAGCCAGCAGCTGGTGCCCTCCCTCCTCAGCAGCCATCTGGGACCAGGTGTGCCCCTCTTCTGCCAAGAATGTGCCAGGCTGAGGCACAGGCAGGTGTGGTGTGATTGGGAGATTATGATTACAGGTGTTGTAGCACCTCCCCTCCCAGGTTAGCCAGCTATGCTGATAGGTGTAGCTCTTACTCTGGAAGTGGAATACTTTGTGGGCAGGTTCCTGGGCTGGGCAGCAAGGAGAGAAACCAATTCAGATGGCCTCAGTGTCTAAACCCAACTGGGAAGCAGACTCTACACACACTGGTATTTAGGATGCTACAACCCACAGTGTAGGCAGAGCCTGCATTCCTGAAGGTGTTGATTATTAAAAATCTGTTTTCTCCTAGAAATAATATACACATGAATGTTGGTTCTCCAGATTTTCCATCAAAAGCCCACTTAACTCATAGTCTATTTTCACAATTCTGCATTTGCAGCACAAAACAATAACCAGTGCACTGTGCAGATTCACCCAGGGTCTGGCTGCATGCTGCTCCTGAACCCAGCCAGGCCTGCAAAGCTCAGTCTTTGGCTTCAGAGTAGCAGGAAATGGCAGGGCAGGGCCACTGGTGATCAGACCTGAGCAGGCAGCAGAATCACCTGGAGGGCTACCACTTACTTCACTCTGAAAGTTCTCACTCCGGGGGGTCCGGGGTGGGGCTCAAGAATTCGCATCTCTGTCGCATTCCCAGGTGGTGCTGATGCTGCTGGTCTCACCACCTTTGAGGACCACTGGGAGAGATGTGGGAGGAAGTTACCCACCTAAAGAAGTCCTGTATTTGAATTCCTAATGACGAGATTCTGCGTGCCCAGCGGTGCCCCACTCCCCAGTTATCCACTATCAACGAGGCTCTTGGTCCGTCTGTCAGTCTGGGCCTGCCATTCCCTTTCTTCCTGAGCCTGGTGTTGACCATCGCTCTGGAAGCCGATGGGTAGAGGAGTTAGTCACTCTCCCAAGTTCTCTGAGGGTCGGCCATACCTTGGGGACATCAGTGAGCAAGTGTGTGTCCCAAAGAGTTCAGGAACCCGTGAGAGGCTCCCGCCTTCCTGCTCTGTCTGGGCCAGGTGCCTTCCTCCGCAGAGTCTGATGCCGAAGTTCAGCTTTTCCCGAAGCCCCTTGAAGCCAAGACCCACAGCTGAGGACTCCTGGGGGCTCCATCAGGTTTTACAGAAATTGACCTGAGCTTACCATGCCCTTTAAGAACTCCCTACATTATACTCTGGGTCTCAAGACAGATAGACAAGGGGGAGAAATTGAAGAAGGCAGAGCTAAGATCAGATCTCAGCCCAGCCTTCCACACGGCCCATGCCACCCCCACGAATCCTGGTTTTGCTTCCAGAACTCCCTCTGTTCTGACAGTCCCCACTGCCTTACCCATCCTGCACCTCTCCAGCTTCCTGCTTCACTCCCCCTCTCCACTGACCTGGGTGACTAATGCTTCCCAGGGCTGGAAGCTTTAGCCACTTCTTTCCACAAGACAGAGGGCGTCAGTGCCACTGCGGGGTGACACAGGTGGTGCCACCAGCAGAGACTCCCCATTTGCCCCTTGAGCCCCACACAGATGGCTGTGGATCCAGGGCTGTGTTCTCACAGGTGCTCCCCTGGGACACACGCCACTTCCAGGGAATAAACTTGGGCTTCTCTCCGGTGTCTGCGAAAGGAGAAAAGAAAAATTGGAGGATTATTTTGTTTGTTTATTAAATAATAACACATAGTTTCAAAAATAGTCTAAATGTTGCACTTACTGATTGATCAGCTTTCCCTCCAGGTGAAGCAGATAGCTTTAGAGTGGAATATGAGAAAACACGGGATGTTTACAAGCAAAATAATAGGAATGCTTAAAGTTGATATTCCAACACCTGCTATTAGCCCTCTTTATTTTTGACTACTTATGAAGTTTGGGGGGATGAAAACACAAAAATTGCTTTTAATTTCCTCCTGTCATTATGATGCCTGGTGTAAAAAGTTGGCAGGGCCTTCCGCCTGCTGGGCCCTGTGACACTCACAGGTGCTGGTGGCCAGGAACGCGGCCTCCTCGGTTGCTCCCTGCCTTTGGGTGATCTGCCCCAGTTGCCTGGAACAGCAGGAACGCACATGCCCAGGTTTCACGGGGGTACTTCCTGCAGACCTTCATAACCTGCCTCAGACTGAAACGTTACACTGCCTGCTGTGGGCAAATTATATTTCTCGTTGTTGGATTTTCAAAAACACTGAGGGGCCTCCTAATGGTATACGTGACGTGGTGCTATAAGTGGCGTCACGGCCGTCACCACAGTTCTGTGTTGCCCTTGTGATTGACTAGCACTGGCATCTGTGTGTGCTTCTCTCTGATCTGTTTTTTATTTGCCCCTCTCTAGTGGGATCTTGTGTGTGATAATGCCTGGAAGGTCCATATCGCTAAGTTCTCCTTACTGGTTGGATTAATCTTTGGCTACCTAATAACTGGATGCATTGCTGACTGGTGAGTACCAACGTGCCCACACACAAACCTTGGGAAGCCACTGCAAGACTTTGCAGGCTAAAGAGGAGTGGTCAGTGTTAGATGCTGGTCCTGTCTTTTCTCTGCCCCACTGTTAGTGCCGGAACAGGAGCTGAAGCCATCCCCTGGAGAATTCAGAATGAAAAGAATTGGCCAGTGCCCATAACAGACCCTTGTGAAGTGAGAATTTAAATTCACTTTAATTTAAAGAATTTAAATTCTTTAGCTGCAAGAACCTAGCAAAACCAGCCAGCAGCCTGCAGCCCTCTCTCCTACTGACAGTCAGTGTTTAGATAGGAAGAGATGGAGGAGTTCAGCTCAGGGCTTTCTGGGTTGAGCCCCGATGGCTTGGATGTCTAAGACGCATCAAAAAATGGGGAGAGGAGGACCTAGTGAACTTAACAGGTCGCACCTCAAAATGTCCCACAGGTTTTAGAGAGGGACAGCTCCTGAAGTTGGCTTGGCCAGCAGATGCCTCTGTGGGGTCCATGGGGAGCTGGGCCTGGAGAAGCGGCAGCATTTGGATAACAGCTGGGCATCGCGGGCAGAGGCGGGGCAGTGACCAGGTGAGAATGAATGTGCTTTACCTGGGTGGGTGAGGAGGTCTAAGGGGTGGAGCAGAGTGCACGGTGCAGAATGAAGTGCTGAGGTTGGTGAGGAGGGCGGGGGAGGTGGTATTAGAGACGGGAATGATAATAATAATAGCAACAGTTTTGGCAACTGAGAGGTACTGACTGATGACTGTTGCCGGGCACGGTGCTAAGTATTTCCACACGTGACAATATTCCATCTTCACAGCACCCTGTTCGGAAGGTACTGTTATCACCTCTGTCTCAGAGTGGGAAAACAGAAGCGCAGACGTTTAAGTAAAATCCCCCAGTGCACTCAGCTTTCAAGTTGGAGAGGCAGGATGTGGGGCTAAGTCCCACGGCTCAGAGCCTGCCTCTTCTCAAGGGTGCTGCCACTGTATCTCCGGCCTCCTGCGGTCACAAGGGCAGCGGCAGCAGTGACATGTCTGAGTGGGGAGGCAGCTGCCCAGTGTTGACAGGGTTTCAAGTAATGGGACTGCTCAGGGAGAGAGGCATGGGCTAGCTGTTCCCCTCACCGTTCCTTTATCTATCAAGGAACCTTGTGTGTCTGTGTGTGAATAAGGTCATCTTGGACCCAGTAACATAAGAACGATATAGAGCAAACTCCTTATGCCTGTGCCTCCCCCTGGAGCCCTTTGGGCGGGGTTAGCTGAGAAAGCTGGCTCAGCAGGAGCCGGGGCACAGAGCAGTGCATGGAACCTCGAGGAGTTTTGATACCACTTTCAAGTTCTGGGCATTTCTTTCTAAAAGCTAGCATCTATTTGAGAGTTCCTGGCATTGACATGTGTGATTTCCTGTGTGTTCAGAATTTGCTTAATCATGATTTGTAAATGTTTCTTAAGGACACATTCCCCGGGGACAGTAACAGAGAAGCTGTGAGTGAAGAAGAGGCGTCTGGAAAGCTGTGCAAGGCCCCTGGGGGCTGGCAGGGTGGGGCAAGCACAGGGGCTTTTTTCTAACCAAATCTTGAGCTTAAAGGTGTTCAGAGTAAACTGGATGGATCTAAAAGATACTCCAGTGTTTTAACCACAAGGACTTTTATTTCCCAAATCGGCATTAAAATAGGTTAGGAAGATACACTAATATAATTCACATCACTTGTTTCTAAAGAAACGCAGACTGGACTTGGGTTCTAGTTTCCTTGTTCAGTGAATTTATAGGTAAAGCAGATATGGGCCTGTATTAATATCAGTCTGTAACGGGGTTTAAATTACTTAGGGGTGGTTTTGTGAATTCTTACTTCTTACGAGCACAGGCTGTTTGGCCTCCCTGATCACACACTAGGACTGGGGACAAAAAGCAGAAGAGTTTGGGTCCTCCTTCAGGAGTAAAAACCAGTGGATCTTGTAGACTCACTTCTCTGCAGTCCCTTTGTCGAGGCCCGGAGGTGGGTGGGGTGCCGTGGGTGATGGAGAGACAGGGAGTGCTCTGTGCTGTGGCTCTTTGAGCATTTGAGTGGGCCTCGGTTGCACTTGGAAAGTTTGGTGTTTTCCACCCTTAGCTTTTATTTATGGCTCTGTGCTCCCTGCGAGCCTTGCTGAAAAGGAAACGGACACGTTTAGAGGGAACTACAGATTCACAGCTGCTGGCCCAGTCACGGCATGTGAGGAAGTTGTCCGAGCCGGGGTGAGCTCTCTAAGACTGTAGTCAGCACATAAAATGTCAAGTGGTACACTTTGTCCTTTAAGAAGTTACCGTTCTCCCCACATGTTTTATTTGGGGACACACATCACATGTTTTAGGATGTGCTAGTTTAGATGTTCGAGGAGACATTCCTGACTGTGGCGTAGCCAGATGACACCCCTCCCCCCACAGCTGGTTCTTTTGCTAGACATGCGCATTTCTCACCCCAGGAGCCCTTACCCCTTGCCCTCTAGCTCCTGGCTCAGCCCTGGCAGAGCCCCTTTGCCAGGAAAGGTAGCATATTCCCAGGCTCCAGTGTTTAGGGTGTGGACATCCTGGGGGGCCATTATTCTGCTCACCACGGAGCCTCGTTGATAAAGCCCTCTGTGTCTCTGCATTACAGAACTAGGGCTGTGGTTTTACCCCTCATCCCTCATGGGGTTCTGCCGGGGGAAGCCAGTCCACACTAAAACTCCAGGGGTTCTGACTTACACTTGTTGACCATTTGCTGGATCACTTGCACTTACTTATCCCTGACAACAAGCCCATTAGGTTGGCACTGACCGGCTGTTCCTAAGGAAACAGGAGGCTAGTTCGGACAAGGGTGGTCTTTCTCGTGACCATGTATGTAGTGTATAAGGGATGGGCCTGGATAAAAGACCAAGGGCTCTGACTTTGAAGATCATATTTGCCCCACAGTTCCTAATAGTAATTTTATTCACTGACTTTAGCAATCATTTCAAAGGGAGAGATTTAAATAGTTTATACAAGTGAAAAAAAAGATCGAGGATCTCTTCTAAAGTATCAGAACATTGTAATTGATCTCATAGCTCGGCCTCATTTCACTAAACTGAAGTTACTATGGGGAATGTTAGAAGCCTAAAAAATTCTGAATGAAATTGTGTCCTATAGCACCCCTCCCCCCAAGTTTTCTGGAAATTATATTCATCTCCTTCATAGAGCAAAGCCATGTGTTACTGAGCATTGCTGTTGCTTTAACAGCTTTATTGAGAGAAAATTTACATTTTACATATCATAAAGCTCGCCCATTTTAAGTGCACAATCTAGTGAGTTTTCGTGTATTTACAGAATCTTACAATCATCACCACACTAAAACATTTCCACCACCTTAAAAGGGAGTGTCGTGCCCATCTACATTCATTCCTCATTCTCACCCCCAGCCCCAGGCAACCACGAATCTACTCTGTTTCTATTTGCCTTTTCTGGGCATTCTGCTTTTATGTAGATGCCTTGTTATAAGCATGTATAGGCTAATTCAAGGCATTAGTTACTCTTCAGGTGTTTGGGCTGCCAGGCTTGGTTTTCTTCCTTTGACAAATAGAATTTCTCTCCAGTTTCTTTGTGAGCTATTCTTCTAGTTCAAGCTTGGTTGGGTTATATTAATTTGTATGAATTTTTTTTCTCCCTAGTAAATTGATGAAGGAAAACCTGGAAGGCTAGGAAGAGAGGGGTGAAGAACTAGTTACCTTCCATTCCCATAGACCCCCTAACCCCCCTGTGGACCTCTCAGCCACTCCTTAGGAGCACATCACACCCTAGTAGTAGCCGATCTTGCCCGGCTCTATAATCTTCCAGTCTAGTTTTTTTCTGAAACACAGTGGCTTGGGCTCCTTCCACCCCTTGCTGCCTGGTGGGCTTCACTTTCAGGTTCACACCCATTATTTAAAGTCGAACTATCTTAGTTTAGTCTAAGTTTAGTTTAAAAATGACTTCTCATCATACAGTTGAAACACACCGGCAGCTGGCTTGGCCCCAGCTCTGGTAGGCTGTGTGAGGTCAGGCGCCTGACTAGTTACCAGCCCTGACTAAGGAGATGAAGCCACTTCACTCAGTGTCTCTGTTGACTTTGGTGCCAGTTCCAAAGGTCAGTGATTTCTCAGGACATTTTATGATGGGTGTGTCAAGGTTTACATTTGGGGAGTTGTTATTGATTTTGTTACTCTTGCCTTGAATTATCCTCCTATATACTCAAAAATAGACTTACCAACAGGAATTGGGTTCCTGTTTCAGTTCTATTATGCAGTAGCTGTTTAATCTGGGCCCCTTTTTCTGCACAATGAGGCGGTCGAGCTACATTTCCCCCAAGGGCCTCTCTGTCCCTAGATATGCCACAGTGGGTCTGGACAGTGGGAAGACTTTTAGTCCAGTACTCATTCAGCATCGATTGAGCACCTACTGGATGCTGGGTTTTCAAGGCTGGTACCACGGTCCTGTGTAATGATGACTCCTAACGTTTCCTCTCTGTGCACAGGGTCGGCCGGCGGCCTGTGCTGCTCTGTTCCATCATCTTCATTCTGATCTTTGGCCTGACCGTGGCCCTGTCCGTGAATGTGACGATGTTCAGCACACTCAGGTTCTTCGAAGGATTCTGCCTGGCTGGAATAATCCTCACCTTGTATGCATTACGTAAGTAGGAGTCTTCCCAACCCGTCTTGAAGAAATTGGTGGAAGTGTTTATGGCGCCTACGTGGTTCTGGGAAGGGGCTCTGTGCTGGTGGTTTGGGATGGCAGTCTTTTGGAAGTGCAAACTTGAATGGCCTCAGCTGCTGTGAAGACGCTTTCCCAGGTAATGTCATCCAACACCCAGTCTATCCTGGTCTCTGGCGTGGGCTCAGGACACATCAAAGGACACGAGGGCTATGTAACTGCTTGGAGAAGCAGGGATCAGCCCACAGCTGGTGTGGAGGAGCTTTTGCTTTCTTCCAGAATTTTCTGTGTTAATGTTCTGTGCACTTTCAAGTACAGCACATCATTAGGCATCCCTGTGCTTGGTTCCAGAAAAACATACCCACCACTGCTACCCTCTGTTCTGGGCTCAGTGTTCTCATTGCCTCTGTAAGAGTTTTTCTTCCAGCCCTGGCTGGATAGCTAAGTGGGTTAGAGCATCGTCCCAATACACCATCAGGGCACATACAGGAAGCAACCAATAAATGCATAAATAAGTGGAAAAACAAATTAATGTCTCTTTCCCAGTTTCTCTCTCTCTTTTTTTTAAAATAAGTTTTCTTACTTTTTTTTCCCCTATAAGGCTGTGCAGAGTCCGAATTATCCACATTCTCATGTGCCTGGATATGGCTTTAAGTGGTCTGGACTCAAATCCCGTGCATTGGTACTAGAAGAGTAAATGGCAGTATTTGTTAGTATTTGCTCTTTTTAGGGTGAAGAAAAATTTTTCTGCATTAATTCCTCATGTTTGTTGGACATATTAACTCTCCTATCCAATCTGGTTATGTTTTACTTCTTTGAAGTTGGTGTTTTCTAGAATACAGCCACAAACCCCTACGAAGGAGGGAGGTTTTAGGCATGAATGTTTTTACTTATTTTCTAGTTTTTATGCTTTCTAATCACCTGGTGAAAAGAAGTGTTAGGAATAATGTAAAATTATTTATAATATGTTTTGTCTTTTTCTTTTCCTTTAACAACATGGGTAGGAGTCAGTTATAGATTAAGTAGCATTTTCCAGTGAGGTCAAATAAGAATAGTCCTGCTTCTCTTAAGTGCGCTTATTAAAACTAGATAACACACCCTAACCGGTTTGGCTCAGTGGATAGAGCATCGGCCTGCGGACTGAAGAGTCCCAGGTTCGATTCCGGTCAAGGGCACGTACCTTGGTTGTGAGCACATCCCGAGTAGGGGGTGTGCAGGAGGCAGCTGATCGGTGTTTCTCTCTCATCGATGTTTCTAACTCTCTATCCCTCTCCCTTCCTCTCTGTAAAAAAATCATAAAATATATATATTTTAAAGAACCCACAAAACTAGATAACACTTTCAGGTTACTTGAATTTTTGTCCCTCTATTATCTAGAACTAGAGGCCCAGTGCACGAAATTCGTGCACTGGGCGGGGGGGTCCCCTCAGCCCGGCCTGCACCCTCTCGCAGTCCAAGAGCCCTTGGGGAATGTCCAAGTGATGGCTTAGGCCTACCCCCTGCCCGCCCCCCGCCCCCTGGCTGGGGAGCAGGCCTAAGCCATCATTCAGACATCCCTAGTGCTGCTGCGGATAGTCAGTGCGTGTCAGCTCCTGCCTTGAGCGTCTGCCCCCTGGTGATCAGTGCACATCATAGCGACCAGTAGTTCCACCGTTCAGTCGATTTGCATAGTCGCCTTTTATTATATAGCATGGGATCAGGCCAAAACTGGCCTGCAGGATCGGGCTGAAACCGGCTCTCTAGTATCCCCCGAGGGGTCCCGGATTGTAAGAGGGTGCAGGCCAGGCCAAGGGACCCCACCAGTGCATAATCTGGGCCGGGGAGGGACATGGGAGGTTGGCCAGTGCGGGGAGGGACTACAGGAGGGCTCCAGAGCGTGTCCAGCCCATCTCACTCAGCCCCGATAGGCCAGACCCCAGCAGCAAGCTAACCTACCGATTGGAGTGTCTGCCCCCTAGTGGTCAGTGGACATTATAGTAACTGGTCAACCTGTCGACTGTCTGTCCCCTGGTGGTCAGTGCACATTATAGCGACTGGTCGACCGGTTGACTGTCTGCCCCCTGGTGGTCAGTGCATGCCATAGTGACTGGTCAACCAGTCGACTGTCTGCCCCCTGGTGGTCAGTGCACATCATAGAGAGCGGTTGAGTGCCCTTAGCATATCATTAGCATATTATGCTTTGATTGGTTGAACAGATGACTGGACACATAGCATATTAGGCTTTTATTATATAGGATAGAAATATAATCTGTAACATAGTGTTAGAGTCACAGAGAAGAAATGGGCATAGAGAAAGGCTACAGGTATATTCTCTGAATCCACAGTCAGCAGTTTTGTCATCTCCCAACACTGAACTGTTTCCAGTCTATTTGCATTTATTTTGGAGCCCTTGCTTCTTAGGGAGTTCTCTAGGAATATATGTGTTCCAGGTCAGTGGGTCACAGTCATGGCTTTTTGGAGGTTTTATTTCTTTGAACAGCGTGAGTATTGGGCTTAAAAGTTTCCTGGTAAAATTCCTGTGCTGTTTTCTGGTCCTGCCCACCCATTGGTCTGTGCAGAGGAGCAGCTTCCTCACCTTTTTTAAAAAAAATGTTCTTATTAATTTTTTTTTAGAGAGAAGGGAAGGGAGAGGGATGGAGAGATAACAATGTCGACGAGAGAGAAACATCATCAATTGGCTGTCTCCTGCGTGCCCCCTACTGGCGATCCAACCTGCAACCCAGGCATGTGCCCTGACCAGGAATCGAACCATGACCTTTTGGTTCCTGGGTTGACACTCAACCACTGAGCCACACCGGCCAGGCTCCCCACCCTTTTTTTGAGGAGACTCCAGGCCCTGCTCTCAGACACTCATTTGAGCTGCATCTGTGTAGGTTTGTGAGGCTTCTGGTTCTCCCAGGAATCTAGGCCTTCCTTGAGGATGGCCATTGAAGGGGACAGCTGTGCATGTTGACAAACTAGAATAGCTGCGCTTCAGAAACTTTGCAGAGAGTGTAACCTCAGCCTAGCACATGAGTATGTATCAGACTTGGAGAGAATATCAAGCACAGATGACATATCGGTTTTATCTTGCATGCCAACTGCTCATGATAGATTGAGATTGCTAGCGAGCCCAGGGAGCTCAGGGCGCTGGAGAGAACACCTTGATCCATTAGCCACGTCTGCCTGGGAGAAGGAAGATGGGTGGGAAGGGCTGCCTGGACCTGACACTCACCTCTGCACAGATCCTCCCTGAACTAAGCCAGACCAGAAGAGCACTCCCCCTGAACTACATCGTTTCAGCCTCACATAGAATCGTTTTACTGACTTGTGTTGTGATATCATGCCATTGGCTCTGTGAAAGTTGTTGCTATATTTACTGTAAAAATGAAGCTAAGGCTGTTTGTTTGTTTGTTTGTTTTTTCAGGAGATTGCATAGTAAACTCTTTACAGTAGGAAGTTCTCTTTCCTTTCGGAACCATACAAAGAATGTGCTTACCCTTGGAAATTGCTGTGCTTTTGTCTCATAGGCACAGAATCATCTGCAGGCATCTGCAAACTTTGTTTCTGTAAAAAGCCAGTTAGTAACTATTTTAGGCTTTGCAGGTCTCTGTTACAACCACTCAGCTCTGCTATTGTACCACGAATGCAGCCATAAATAACATGTAAGTGATGAGGTGTGGCTGCATTCCAATAAAACTTTATTTGCAGAATAAGTGGTGGGACAGATGTGACCAGCAGGCTCTATTATTCCAGCTACCGATGTAAGCGAGTCTCTCTGTCCTTTGACTGCTAGGAAGCTTAGAAAGCTCAGAGTCTGATCTCGCCTGTGCGTGGGCCTGATAGGCTGAGCTGTAAATCAAGCCTCTCTCCTAATTTCATCTAAACTTTCCTACTGTAATTTCTCCTTTGTCCCATTTCCTGTCTCTATAATATAAGTGTTATTTTATTACATGTATTTGTATGAGCAGTCTTAAATTTTTTCTGAAATAAAGCAGGGAATAAATAGTTATTGTTTTCTTAGATTGGAATTACATATGAAACATCATGATAAATACCATTGCAATGAACAAAATTCCAAGCATCAACCAGTGGCCCACTGTCTGAGCTAATACAATATCTGGTATAGCAAAATTAAAATAAAGCAAAAGGACATAAATGATTAGTTGGAGTTCACTGAGATAGTATTTAAGCAATATAAATAAGGGGCCAATGATTGAGAGACGGCAGAAGAGCTAAGCTTGGCAGGGGAGAATCAGAGAGAGGCCTTAAAGTTGTGATGGGCAGGCAGGATTGGGGAAGGATGTGATGCTCACTGGCCTGGGGCAGCCCTTCTCTCTGTCAATCCTAGATCAGGACACTGATGGTGACCAGAAGTTAAGAGACAAGCTCCCAGTCAATAGGGCAGATGACTGAATTTCCAGATCAGTGTGCTTGCTAGCATTTTATACACGAGTAATCCATGGGCTTAGTTAATGTTTAAGAATTTGTTTTGCTTAAAGGAAATTATTGATAATCTCTGTCACAATGTTGAAGTATTTCTTGACTCTAAAGAGAAGTTTTAAACTTTTGGGCATTGATTGTTTGGAAAATACATTTTTAATGGTCCGGACTTTTTCTACTCCTTCACCATGTGGTTTTCATCTCACTAGGTGTGCTGGAAAGGCCTGCACTTCCTCAGAGAGAACTGGATGTCATTCCTTTTTTCAGTCTTGCAGGTGCTTGGCAATGTTTGCAGGGAAAGTAATGATTTTTGCAGATTCCCGTTTCTTGTGTAGCCTGTGGTGTGGGTGGACTCTGAGTTTTAAGAAATGCTGCTGACTTAGGAAAGTTTCTGCTTTATATGCAAGGCTGCTTGAGGATTTCTCATGCTTTGGGATTTTTCTAAGGTACATTCCAGTTAAATACTCTCTCCTTTAGACTTTTGTTTCCTTCAAGTCAACATAGGAGCATGTGGTTGCTGGCTAGGACATAAAGCAGAGATTATTGGCATCTTCCCC